ATTTTTTAAATATTTTAATACTGCCGCAATCAAAATACAAAATACAACCCTGCTTCAAGTGGACTAGGAGTCCTTTGGCCGTAGGTACACTTGGGATCAGAGATCCCCAGTGACCACCAACCACCTTAGCGAGCGAGCGAGAGAAAGAGAGAGAGAGAGCTAGAGAGAGAGAAAGAGAGAGAGAGAGAGAGAGAGAGAGAGAGAGAGAGAGAGAGAGAGAGAGAGAGAGAGAGAGAGAGAGAGAGAGAGAGAGANAGAGAGAGAGAGAGAGAGAGAGAGAGAGAGAGAGAGAGAGAGAGAGAGAGAGAGAGAGAGAGAGAGAGAGAGAGAGAGACAGAGAGACAAAGAGAATGAGAGACAGATAGATGTATCTTGTGCAATTGGGACCAGATTATCGGAATGTGCGGACTTGTAGCCTTGGATGTATTGAACTACCAAGTTTGGCTGATTTGTCCTTTGAAATTCGTGAATTGGTCATCTTTTGTGATGACCAAGAGCAATGAGTGGAAAGTGGAGCGGAGAGGAGAATGGAGGGGTGGTTGGATAGTCAGCAATTGCAGTGTTAATGGCTTGCTGACCGTATTGCACGTTGTCTGTTGAGGAATTGTTCGCTGGTAAAAAATGCCTTTTGTTTTTTTCGACTTGGTCTTCTTAGTTCATTTTCGGTTTCTTTTTAACTTGACTTGTGCGTTTGTCTTTTCTGCGGTTACATCAGATTTGTTGTCTCTCTGTACTCCATGAAATTTTCTGGGTCTGCTTTCTTTTGAATTGCAGCACATGTCGTGTTTCTGTATTGCCAGGCAGCGAACGTAATCCACTTGTAAGCAGGAGTAAGAGGTCTACGTGTCATGCTCTAGGCAATTGAAAAACGTGAAATGGTAAATTGCTCCTGTGTCATGTTAACGGTTTCCTCTTAGAAAGTGAGAGCCCCATGGCTCATTGGCCAACAAAGCACCTTGGTCATTAATAATTTGGATAGTCGTTTCTACGAGGATTGAGATTGTAAAAGAGAGAGAGAGAGAGAGAGAGAGAGAGAGAGAGAGAGAGAGAGAGAGAGAGAGAGAGAGAGAGAGAGAGAGTGGACACAATTTTGACTGCGATCAAGATCTGGGTCTTGGATATGATCGTGAAGGGGTTGGTGACAACATACGAGATTGCTAACTTTACACTCTAGTGAGATGAGGCGCAGTACGTGGACAACCTACAACGTGTGGATCCCTGTGCTGCTCGCTGATTTGTTTTTACATATCGGTTCATTGATGATGTTCTTACCTTTGATTGTCTGCCACCATCATCAGCCCATTATGGTCTTGAATGGAAGGAGACCACTGCGACAGATGGCTCGTGCACCTTYTTAGGTGCGAAACTGCAGACACGAGCAGACGGATCTCTCCGATTGAGTGTGTTTGATAAGACATTTGCATGGGATTTTCCTGTTATACAATATCCTAGTGCAACGTCGAACATTTCATTTCATCAGCCTGCAGGTGTATTCACTGGCCAGCTTACGCGGTTTGAGCAGATTTTTGACAATTGGCATAATTTCAAAACTGCAGCAACTATGCTTGTACGCCGTTTGCTCTCCCGTGGTCATGCTCCGTCAACACTGGCCCGTGGATGGACTTGTTACATTCGTGCTTGCCAACATAGACATCCTATACATGTAACTCGCCTTACACAATGGTTTCGACGTATGCTTCGCTGGTCTGTGCACCATCCTCTTCCACCCTCTCCTCCCCTTTCCTTCCCTTCTCCTTCTGTCATCCCCCATTCTTCTCTCCCTTTCTCTTTTCCCTCTTCTCATCCTCCTCCCCCTCCCCCTCCCCCTCCCCCTCCCCCTTCCCCTTCCCCTCCCCCTTCTCCTCCCCCTCCCCCTCCCCCTCCACATTGTGATGCAGCTACAAAAGTGTACTTCGAAACTTTGGACTTCTTCTGTCGGGGAGAGGGCGTGACCCGTAACGACCTTCAGTTTCAACCGCTTGACCCTACCGGAACTAAGGACTCCGAAATGACACTTTGGCCGCTGGGCTACTTTCGAGGTCCTCCGTGCAAGATATAACAATACACATTTCGTAAAAAATGAGCTTTTTGTCAAAAAGTGAACTATTTTGACTGCGAATAAACACTCAGTACATGGCCCAATAGGGCATCATGCGACACTTTAAATGGTCAGTATATGAGGTGTTGACATGACAAATGTTATGGTGGGGTGTTTTGAGCCCTTCATACATGAATAGTCGTTACTAAATGCGAATTAACGCAGTGTAAAAAAGGGCAGGGGCTCTTTGTATGACACCTTGACAATGTTGTCCTGGCTTAGTGTTGCTGTGACAGACAGTACACGATTCAAAAGGGCATCGTGTTGGGTATGTGTTGCCTGTTTTCCATAAAAGGTCAGGGGTCCGACGCCCGATACCTTGCAAGTTGATTGACTGAACCTGTCAACTGTGGTCGGGCGGAACACCCAGCCTGGTGCACGACATTTGGCAAGTTGAACCCGCAACCCGTCAGTACCCCTGCAACAATTGTGTCCACCATTTATCTTCTCGGAAGGACCTGAGGTTCCTTCTCCGGTTGACAAATAGTAGTTGAACAGTGTCACGGAATGATTCGGGAGTGGTGTTCGACAGGAAACCTTAAGGAAGTGGCAAACATCCGTTCGCTGTCGATGCCGATTGCCAATAGAACTGTTAGGGGGCCTTGATGTTGGTTCCTGATCTGTTTGGCGATCGAGCATATTGAAGAAGTGTGAAAGAGTCATTGGTTGTCTGTATGGATTGTCATTAGCACTCTTAGGGAATCTTGATGCGAGATCTGATTTCGGGGAGAGAGAGAGAGAGAGAGAGAGAGAGAGAGAGAGAGAGAGAGAGAGAGAGAGAGAGAGAGAGAGAGAGAGAGTTCCTTGCTTTAACCCGGAAAGGCATTGACAGAGTAGATATCGGTTTGGTGACTGAGCACCTTCAACAAGTGTCAAACAGTCGACGTGCGGATGGCCACGCACTCTAAGGGAACCTTGATGGTGGGTGTGGAATTGCTTGCCGCAGGTTAGCAGTTGCTGGGCAGTCTTGGATGCTGAAGTCCGCCACTGGGGGAAGGTTTGATGGTCTGTGGTGGGACTTCCTGTTGGATTTGGATCTGTTTCGAGCAGAGTTTCGCACTCAAGAAGCAGAATTGAACTCCTGATCCCGCAGGTTAGCAGTTCTTGGACATTGCTTGTGGTGTTGTCAGGGTACACACCACAAGTCGGAGTGAACTCTCATTTAGATGGACAACATGAACGCACACCATTGGCTTAGTGTTGCTGTAACAGACAGTACACGGCTCAAAAGGGCATCGTGTTGGGTATGTGGTGCCTGTTTTCCATAAAAGGTCAGAGGTCCAGCGCCCGATACCTTGCAAGCTGAAGGACTGAACCTGTCAACTGTGATCAGGCGGAACACCCAGCCAGGTGCACGACATTTGGCAAGTTGCCCGTCAGTACCCCTGCAACAAATGTGTCCACCATTTATCTTCCCGGAAGGACCTCTTTCTCCGGTTGACAGATAGGAGTTGAACACCAAATGATTCGGGAGTTAATGGTGTTCGACAGAGCACCTTAAGGAAGTGGCAAACAGTCGTTCGCTATCGATGCCGATTGCCAATAGCACTGTTCGAGAGAGAGAGAGAGAGAGACAGAGACAGAGAGAGAGAGAGAGAGAGAGAGAGAGAGAGAGAGAGAGAGAGAGAGGGTTTCTTGCTTTAACCTGGAAAGGCATTGATAGGTACTAGTTGAACAGCGAATCAATTCGCAGATATCGGTTTGGTGACTCAGCACCTTTAACAAGTGTCAAACAGTCGTTGGCGGTCTGTGCGGATGGCCACGCACTATAAGGGAACCTTGGTCTGTGGCGGGACTTCCTGTTAGATTTGGATCTGTTTCGAGCAGAGTTTCGCACGCAAGAAACAGAATTGAACTCCAGATCCCGTAGGTTATCAGTTCTTGGACATTTGCATGGACAACTAGCGGATTGCTCGGAGTACAAACCACAAGTCGGAGTGATACAATACGGATGCTGGTTTGTCATTTGCATGGACAAATCAATAACAAAGATTCCTAACATTCACTCTTGTCATCGCAAACATCGATCCCCTCCTTGACATGAGCATGTATAGGACTGTAAGACATTGGCATGAACATCGGAGATCGAAACACTTGCAAGGTCATCGACGTGTCATTTCTTTGCATGGACAAGATACATAACATCCATTCAGAACATTTACTCTTGTCACCGCAACGTGGAGATGGAAACACTCGCAACTGGCATAGTCTTTTCCTAACATTGCACCTTCGTAAATGGAAACACAACACGCCGAGTTGCGAGAAATGTTCAAATCACTGAACCGCACATTGCAAAGTAGACAGGGGTTGTTTTCAGAAAAAACGTCCGAAGCAAAAAACAAGTAGTAGGTAGAGGTGTGAGAGGCGTTGCAATATGTGCGAGAGGCAACGTGTATGAAGTAGTAGATAGAGGTGCGAGAGGCAATAGTTGCAACAGGTGCGAGAGACAACGTGTGATTGTCTGCATATCCACCATATCAAGGTGCACATGCACATTATGTTCCACACACGACACAACACAAGATAGTTGTAAAACCAGAACAGTTCATTAGAATTACAATCGCCCTTAAACACGAGGTCTGACCACACGTGAACCGAAACCATACATGGTATTCATAGATGATCCATATACGTGGCTCTGCGGTTCGTGGACAGTTGCATTCTCCGAAAACACGAGCATGTATTTCATCCTGACAAACCCTCCTGATCATGCTAAGGAATTCCCTACAAGTCTCGTATGTCGGACACTTTCTCTTCCACCTCATGCCACAATGATAAACATCTGACCTAACCTGCTCTCACGAAATCTGACCGCCCATCTACATCGGGGGGAGACATCACGGGCTTGAACTTGGATCCCTGAAGTACCATCTCCTTCCGTGCCACGAGCACAACTGCATCCACGAGTTTTCTACTTTTGTTTGAAGAAGTCACACATAGCACTCTCGCGAAAGGACACCCGTCATCAGTCAACCGCACACAATATGTTTTCCCTTGAACACAAGGATGACAACCCGTCCGGACCTTGTGACATGTAAGGTTTCTCGTGGACGAGGTCGTGAACCGAAGCCATACATGGCAATCATAGATGATCCATATACGTGGCTCTGCGGTTCGTGGACCGTTGCAGTCTCCGAAAACACGGACATGTATTTCATCCTGACAAACCCTCCTCGTCGTGCTAAGGAATTCCTTATACAGTCACGTATTTCAGACATTTTCTCTTCCACCTCATGCCACAATGACAAAAAAACTCTTACATGACCTGCTCTCACTAAGTCTGACCGCCCATCTATATCTGGGCGAGACATGACCGCCTTGAACTTGGATCCCTGAAGCACCATCTCGTTGCGTGACACAAGCACAACCGCATCCACAAGTTTTCTACTTTTGCTTGAAGAAGCCACACAAAGCACTCTGGCGAAAGAACATCCGTTATCCGTCAACCGCACACAACAATACGATAGAGCTTGTGGAGAAGTCCATGGGCAACGGGGTGGGTAGTGTTTCAAGAATGAACAATGACGAGCGCAGTCCACCAACTCTTGCTTCTGCGAACTTCCCCAAGTTCGTGACGAAGATGTGATGTACTCGCAGCAAAGGCGACTTCTGAAGCTGGTACGGTAGCTGATCGGTTTACCCTTATCGTCCAGGGTCTTTCGCTGGAGGACACCATCAGGCAGTGCAATAAGGCTCCCGAACTCTAACATGTTGGCAAACTTGTAATGGCTTGCCCAAGGGCAGGCACGCTCTATCGCCTTCCAATCATTATCGTTCCATTCGTCGAGATGCAGGTTCATGTACGGGACGGCGGTCATCCATGGGTCCTCGTCGAAGTCCTCCTTGGCTGCTTCGTCGATCCACGTTTGACCGTCATGATGCCGCACCGATGTCGCACAAGGTGAAAACGGTTTTGCCAAGCGCATATGCTTCTCGGGACTCAAGTGCATGTGCGTCCCGGGACTCATGCTGACGCTTGTCGAAGGTCTCGACGACATTACGCTCCCTACACATCACGGACACACAAACGACACATACAGACGTGTAGACCGTCGTAAATAAAGTTGTCCAACGATAAGTACCCTGGTGCGGCCAACACTCAATCGTCACGCCCGCACTATATATGGACAAGCTTGTCACTTAATCAAAGTGCGAGTGAACTCTCACTTACGTGCGAATTAACCGTCACTTAAGCAAAGTGCGAGTGAATATCACTTAAGTCTGACCACACGTCCAGATCTAGTGACATTCGAGGTTCCCCGGGGACGAGGTCGTGTACCGAAGCCATACAAAGCATTCATTGATGATCCATACACGCGGATCTGCGGTTCGTCGACCGATGCACTCTCCGAAAAGACGAACATGTATTTCATCCTGACAAACACTCCCGGTCGTGCTAAGGAATTCCCTATACAGTCCCGTATATCGGACACTTTCTCCTCGACCCCATGATGCAACGAAAAGTTTTGGACCGGCCCTGCTATAACCAAATCTCGCCACCCATCTATACGAGCAGGCCCGAGCGTCGGCACGAATTTGGACCCCTCAATTACCACCTCATTGCGTGATACAAGCACAACTGCATCGACGAGTTTCCTGCTCTTGTTCGATGCAGCGACACATAGAACTCTGGCGAAATCAAACCCGGATACAGTCAATAGCACACAACAGTATGACACAACTTGTGGAGAATTCTCGGAGCACCGGAGTGGGTACTGCTCCAGGAACGAGCAGTGGCGAGCGCAGTCCACCAACTCTTGTTTCCGCGGGCCTCCCCAAGTTCGTGGCGACAACCTGACGTAGTGGCACTCGAGGCGGCTGAAATGGCGGCTAATGCAGCCCAGTGCTCTGCTCATGTGGTTCAGGAATTTGTGTCCGAGGACAGCGTCAGACACCGGGATGAGGTTCCCGAACTCCAACATGCTGGCGAACTTGTACTGGCTTGCCCAAGGACAGACCCTCTCCATCGTGGCCCAATTCCGATCGCACCAACCGTCAATATGCCCCTCCAGGCACGGGACGACGGTCATCCAGGGATCCTCGTCGAAGTCCTCTGCGGCCGCTCCGTGGATCGTAGTTACACCGTTAAAATACCGCACGGATCTCGCGCAAGGAGGAAACAGTTCTACCAAGCGAATTTGCGTCTCGGGACTCATGGTTTGTGGTGTCGAGAAGATCGGCTCCATGATTCGTGGTGTCGAAAATGTCGCCTCCATTACGCACCCTACACACCACCCGCACATGCCAAACGAGACACACGGGCACGTTGACACTCTTGAACATAGTTGGTGAACGGGAAATGTCGTGGCCACGCCCACACGCAGTCATCAAGACATTCACTCAAGCGGATTGCTCGGGGTTCAGAGCACAAGTGCGAGTGAACTCGCAGTTAGATGGAGAGACAGGTCATCACACCGCTGAAGTGGAATGGTCAGGGTGCACACAGCGAGTGCGAGTGAACTCGCACTTAGATAGAGAGTTAGGTGCGCACACCATGAGCTCATGTGTATAATGTATAAGGAAATCGGCGTGTAACATCCGTTCAGAACTTTCACTTCTACCGATGATGACAGGCCGGTGTGTACATGCGTTCATTCAAAGTTCGAAGAGGCGACCCGAACGTAAGACACTGCGGCGCATCGACTGGAGCATCTTCSGCGAACATAGAAATATATTTYATGCGAACGAAMCCGGTCCTTCCGGCMAGAGACCTSCCTATAGMATCCCGTATAGAGGACGCTTGAGCTTCAACCTCACGCAAAGCGTCCACATCGTCCACCTTACCCCCGATTACCAAATCCCATGTCCCTTCGTATTCTATTGTGACCAAACCGATAATGTCTCTCCCGAGGTGCAACTCATTCCTGGAAACGTAGACCACAGCGTCAGTCAAGGTCCTACTCCGATTCGAACACGCGACGCAAAAGACCCTAGATAAGAATAACTTTCCGAGACGCAATCTAACGCAGCAGTGGGAAACTGCTCGAGGCGACAGCCCTGGAGAACGCAACGGGTACTGATCGAGGAACTAGGAAGGTCTTGCACAGGCAAGCAACTCGTGTTTCAGCGCACGGGACCATGTGCGTGGCGAAGCAGTCACGACACTGCAGGCCAACACATTTTGATGACGAGGAATACTCAGCTTTGCAGTCAAGCAACGACACCGAACTGAACCCAGCACAGCTCTAGGCACGGGAATGAAACTCCCAAACTCGCACATGTTAGCGAACTTGTAGTCGTCCGCCCACGGACACTCCCTTAGCATTATGTCTCATTCAAGCTCTTTCCACGAGTCCAGGGGAGCACCAGTGAATGGGGGGACCTTCATTCAAGGATCGCACTCCATCTCGTCTTTTGTCGCACCATCAATAACAGTGGATTTTCCACTGCCGGAGACGAGCAGCGTGCATGGGGGAAAAGGGTATGCCATGCGCTCACGCCAATCACACAGGATAATCAACTCCGGCATGGCCATCGCGACCGGCAAATGCCCTGCAGGCCACAAAAAAAAACAAAATTAAGCAAATGCGTTCACCCAGCTCACAGGGAAAGAAAATAACCATGCCCCCCAAGGACGTCCGTCGAAACTCCGATGACGGGCGTCTTGTTGAACACGACCACCACCGCACGGCCACACTGCACCCAGCCGGGCGAGAGGCACATCAACAGGCATGGCAGGAGAGAGAGAGAGAGAGAGAGAGAGAGAGAGAGAGAGAGAGAGAGAGAGAGAGAGAGAGAGAGAGAGAGAGAGTGTAGTTAAACAGCATTCGACAGAGAACTGTAAGGAAGCATAAAACAACACTACTTGTATGCCAGGCCCAGCACCCACGGACACTTATACAAGCAATGGAAGTGACGACGAGCCCTCTCCATCGGTTTAAATGACAACCTTCAAGAAGTGCCAAACAGTCGGCGGTCTCAGGTCTCTAGTGCTAAAAGCATTCTTAGGGGACCTTGAGGCGGAACTGCTTGGCGTAGCACTCAATTTTGGATGTCGATCATATGGACACATCATATGATGCTTACCAGCAAGCAGCGGCTAATTGTGGGACCTTCTATTCGGTGTGGATATTTGAGAGCAGATTTGACGCAATCCACTGTTAGATCCATTCCGGCGAGGGGGACCTGCCATTCTGACGTTGTTTATTGTACTCATCACGTGGAAATCGACGACGTGAGGACCCGACAATGAACATTCTTAGGGGACTTTGCGACCGTGTTTGAAACTTATTGGCGTAGCACTAGATGCTCACCAAGCAGTTCTGGATGTCGGTTATATCGACACATCATATGATGCCTTACAAGCAAATTTGATGTAGGTGGCCGCAAAGTTGGCGCCTTAACAGACATAGGTTCTACACGAAACTTCATCAGTCGTGCTTATGTGGATACACTGCGCTTAGGGAACCAAGTGCAGTGACTTAGCAGAACTGTAGCTTCTACGCTAGCCAACAAACATCAAATGTTGGTAAAAGACTATGACAAGGACGTAGTTTGTACCTTCTCATATGGAGGAGAGGAAGTGAGTTATAAAATCTCCTTCCTGGTTAGCGACGAACTGCCCTTCGACATGCTCCTAGGTATGTACTACCTCGAGGTCGCGCAGTTTGACTCGAATAGAAGGGTGTTGATTCACAAATTGCCCAATTATGGTACATTTGTTAGATTGCAAAAGTTTAAAGCTAGAAGTCTAATAGAAAACTACGGGTGCATGTGTGCATCTTTCTATAACTACTATAAGCAAAATTGAGAGGAGAGCATGTATCTAATCTTTGTCTCTGAAAAAGGGGAGGCCGTTAAAACACCCCAGAGATAGAATCAGTCGTCGCACAATATTCTAACCTTTTTAGGAGCCCACAGGCTGGTAGAAAGGGAGGTTGTCCATGCAATAGAGGTTGTCCCAGGTAGTAAGGTGCCTAGAGCACGAATCTATAGGATTTCTCCTGCAGAGTTGGATGAGCTCCGCCGCCAGCTCAAGGAGCTCACAGAGAAGGGATGGATTCGTCCTAGTACCTCCCCTTACGGCTCCCCAGTTTTATTCGTACCGAACAAGGAAGGTACATTAAGGATGTGCATTGACTATACGGGCCTCAATGTCATCACCGTTAAGAACGCAGAGCCCCTACCCGCATCGACGACCTACTGGATAGAGTGCAAGGATGCTGGTACTTTACTAAGATAAATCTAATGTTCGGATACCATCAAATTGCTATTAGATCTGAGGACCAACAGAAAACCGCATTTCAGACGAGGTATGGTCTGTACGAGTTTGTGGTGTTGCCTTTCGACCTATGCAATGCGCCTGGGACATTCCAGCACGCAATGAACAAGATATTTTATGATTACTTAGATAAGTTTATCGTCGTGTATCTCAACGATATCCTCATCTTTAGTAAGACTGTAGAGGAGCACGTTGAACACTTGAAAATAGAGCTAGGTCTCCTAAGACAGCACCAGTACAAGGTTAACTTGCAGAAATGCGAGTTTGGTCGCACCAAGATCTTCAGCAGATGGGTTGAGGTCACACGATGCAAAGGTGGCCAACATTCGTGACTGGCCCAAACCTCTGACTGCCATTGAGGTCAGATTGATTTTAGGCTAGGTAGTAAATCTGGAAATCCGGCAGACCAATTTTATCCGGAATTTTCAATCCGGATGAATTTTCCGGATTAATTCCGAAAATGGAAAATCCGGCTCTGCGAAAAAGAAAAAAAAATTGGCAAAACAATAATAATTCAAAAAAATCTGGAAAAAACGTATGTTGTTCATATGAATGATACAAACAACGTTTGGCATGAGGATTTCTTTTATATCTTAACAGATATAAAGAAAAAAAATAAAACAAAAAAAAAAAAATATATTTAGATAAAAAATTATAAAATGAATTAAGCATTCCCCCTCAAAACCCCTTTATTCCCCATCTTACCCCCTTTGAACCCTTCAATGCCCTATCAAGCTTTTCATGAAATAGGAATGTAGTTCTATTGTATTTTGCATGATTTAAGCATTCCCCCTCAAAACTCATTTATTCCCCATCTTAACCCTTTTTTTTTTTTTTTTTTTGACCTTTTTTTTAATCATCCGGATTTCTGTATGATCCTACCCCCCGATCATCCGGCCAGATAATCCGACCAGATTATCCGGCCAGATATCCCATGCTACATAGATTTTAGGGAT